TAGTACTAGTATTAATTGTTACTCCGGAGTTAGCGACAGCGCATTCGTAGTACTAAAACTAGAAGTACTGTAGTGCTTAACCATAGGGCAAAGTGCAGTTCGAACGACCGACAATTGCTCCCAATCGACGATATATGTATGCGATAAAGTGCAATATATATTACACTTTTCAACTCGACTAAGTGCAAGCTAATACACGACTACTACGATTGACTGGTGCTATTTCAATTGGCTTTGGCCACTCGACGGTCTCGCACCGACTTTGCTAGCCCTTGTAGTACCGTGACCTGCATATATTGTTTCACATTCCAATTCACGATATACATATATATATATATATATATATATATATATATATAGTATTACCGTGTCGTCCCAGCTAACACATGCGTCGGTGATACTCTTGCCATACTCGAGGGGTACGCCAGGCGTAAGTTTCTGCGCGCCTTCAACCAAATTCGACTCGATCATAAGCCCCACGATGCGGTCATCGCCACTGGCCACTTGCGCTCCCTGTGGATATATATGCATCGTGTTTGAACAATGTACAAGTAATCCCACTACTACTACTACTAGTACTAGTACTACTACTACTACTAGTACTAGTACTAGTACTACTACTACTATATAGTAATCATGATCTCGACGTACGACGTTGGCTGCTACAAGAGGTTGGTTGCGGTGGTTCTTGGACGAGTTGCCGTGGGAGCAGTCGATCATGATATTGTCAGGCTGGTGATGCTTTTGCAGCAGATCGGAGCATTTGTCGACATGCTCTTTGGCGTAGTTTGGCCCTGTGCTGCCGCCTCGTAGGATCACGTGGCAGCTGTCGTTACCCTAGTACCAAGGCGATGAGTCAAGCGTTTCTTGATGAGTTGCTGTGGAACGAGAGGCTATCCACGATGTGTACATTGGTGGTTACAATCGCAGACAAGCCGTGCGAACTCACGCCGAGAAAACTGTGCGGGTGCGCCGCCGACACGACGGCGTCTACTGCCAGTTGCCTACAAAATCAATAATACAAGGGATTAACCAAAACGTAGCGAAATCATATTGTGCTTTCGAGTGAAATTTTGTGTTGTGGTTTCTCGTTGGAATTTAAAGCGATTTGATTGGCTACTTCAGATGAGCTCAAAATATTAACCAATCAAAAGCTTCATAATGAAATTCAACCAATCAGATCGAATGTGGATCGGTTTGGTTCGCGCGATTCGATTGCAACCCCCTCCCCAAATTTGTATCAAATCGACAATATATAATGTTCCAGAGTGAGGAGTACAATCTCCAAAAAGGAATATAACACCATTTCGATCACATTATAACACGTAGAAGCCAGGTATATAACACCATGTAGAAGACATTATAACACGTACAAGGAGCCCCCGGTGCCGTTTTTAAATCCAATGGGCATCGACAACCCCGACGTCAGTTCCCTGTGGAGTTGGCACTCTGTTGTGCGGGCGCCAATGGCTCCTAATATAACACCGCAAAATGGATGTTAGGGGTCCTATAACTTGTTATAATTATCTTACCCCACGCCACCAGGTCACAGAAAAACTGCGGCGAAATTGTGTCGAGGAATTCGCATCCCGCCTACACCATCACATATAAGGACACTGTACGTTCAGTTACACTAGCAAATCACTGAAAAGTGCACCTACCGGCAGTCCCAACTCGTTGATGGCGGACAAGAGCTCGCGCGCGAGGCGGAGGCCCTAGCGTTTACCACCATGTGACAACGTGCAAACGTACAGTGTACGGTAAAGTACAACTAGGAGCTACTAGTTTGTACCTTGTTGATGTTGAACGTGCCGTCAATGTCGGGGTCGTTGATGAGTCCTTTCCACCCGACGGTGGTCCGCGGCTTTTCAAAGTACACGCGCATGACCACGAGTAAATCCTTGTCCAGCGTGTCGCGAAGGGCCTTGAGTTTCACCGCTAACGGTACAGCCAAATCAATACCGTCATATTATATGCGACATGGTTCTGACATGATAACGTCATCGTTGAATTGGTCATATCGTCGTATTGATAGGTTGGTTGATATATATCGTACCATACTCCAAGGCGGCTTTGGGGTCGTGGATCGAACATGGGCCGACGATGACGACAAGGCGGTCGTCCACGCGACGCAGGATGTTGTTCACTTCTTGACGGCCCTTGTTCACGGTGCGGGCAATGGCCACAGTGCGCGGCACTTGTTCGAGAAGGCACACGGGTGGGATGAGCGCACGGATGCCGCCGATGCGAACGTCCACCAGCGCATGTTTGTCCATGATCTTGGCGTCTCCCGCGTTGGACACGGAACCTTCGCGGTCTCGATGGCCGTTGCGGGTTTCATTCTCGACGTGGGTGTTTGAGGTTGCCGGTGGACGAGACGCATACATGCCGACCAAGAGCCCGACGGTGCCGCCCCATGCGACCGTGACGGCGACAAGGGAGATGGCCAGCACTACAGAATACGGATTGCTGCTGGTCGAGGTCATGGCAAGGAGGCAAATGGAGAATGCGACGAGTGCAACTAGTATCCTTGTAGCGGGCAAAAGATTGGGCAATCACATCAAAGGCTGTTCAATGACAGGTACGTTCAACGTACATTGCATGTACGTACTGACATTAAGCGTGTATTGAGTAAGAATGTACTTGGCGTACGGGATTGAACGTACGAATTGTACGAAAGGTTAAGTGCACCCAAACGGCAGAATAATATTGTGGAAGGTCCAACACACCGTCAAAACCGCCACGTTCAATGTGTATGGTATTAACGTTAACAGTAAGATAAGTTACTGTACAATTGAATAACAAAAGGTTAACGGAAGTTCACAAGGCCTGCATACTATAACGTTATAATTGCATTTCGTATGAATAAATCATGCGATAGAACGAACTGTTCTGTGTGTGTGAATTGTGAATGGCGTCTTGGTTTGTGAATTCGCAATTGGTTTGTCTAATCAATATGCATTCACGCTGGAGTTCGGATTGGTTGAATATATTTGTCCTTTCTGTAAGAGCCAATCAAATCCACTCAAAATTGGATTAGCCCATAGCGTCGAAGCGTGATTCGATTGCAATACTATTACGTAACGTTAGTATACTATGCGTAAATTAATACTACGTAGTAGTTTGGCTGGGCTAAGGTATACTAGTACTATGTAGTAATGTACTATTAATAGTATTACGTAGTTAACGCCAATATACACGCATATTTTGCATTTGAAGCGTTTCGATTGGTTCGTCTGCTTCAGTAATGTGCAAAATCAAATTCGTAAATTACGCTGATTGGTTGGCTCAACTCGATGGATTTCAGCCAATCCTGGCCATTGTCGTATATCGCTGGCCATTGTCGTATATCGCTGGCAATAATGTTGCGCACGGCATCCGTCACTCGGTGGCGCAGAGCGTTGACCGCCGCCGTCCACGGTCGTCACTTGAGCTCAAAGAAACCTGGCGCTCCATTGAAGGAACGCTTCGTGTCGGTGGACCGATCGGGCTTGAAGCAGCCGCACCTGCATGCTTTGCTCAAGGACAACACGCACGTCCAGGCGTTGGGCCAGCAGAAGAAGTCGGCCAACGAGAACGATTTGACGCGGTTTCTCCACAGTTTGATCGCCGTGCGGGGTCCCATCACAGTGGCAGAGTTCATGCGTCACGTACGTCTTCCATCGCATCCACCGCCGGACTAACGATCAGTAGGCATTGAGCCATCCCGTGCACGGGTACTACATGAAGCGCGACGTGTTTGGGACAAAGGGCGACTTCACGACCGCGCCAGAGATCAGCCAAATGTTCGGCGAACTCATCGGCGTGTGGTGCGTCGCCACGTGGCAGCAGATGGGCAGTCCGTCGCATGTCAAAGTCGTCGAAGTCGGGCCCGGGCGCGGGTCGCTCATGGAGGACTTTGTGCGCACCGCCAAACAGTTCCCAGCCTTCTACAAAGCGCTCGAGATCCATTTGGTCGAGATCAGCCCCGCCCTTCGCGAACTCCAACAGACCAAGCTCCTCGCTGTGAAAACCTCTGCAGACTCGTTCCGGTTGCCGATGGACGGCCCTGCTATCTGCTGGCACGACGATCTGTCCCATGTGCCAGAAGGCCCGACCTTATTTGTCGCCCAAGAACTGTTTGATGCGTTGCCCGTGCATCAATTTGAATATACTCCCAAGTACGTCGCTTACTATGACCGTCGAGGAATATGGGTTGCCTGGCGCATACGTGGCTGTTTGGATGGGACGGATATATATCTGTATATCGTTTATTTCATATATATATATATATATATGTGTGTATGTATACTTATATGTATATATTTGTATTATATGCTGTATATATTTGTATTATTTCATATCTATCTTTTATTTTATACATATGTATATCTTATATTTCGTATATGTATATTATATATGTATATATATATATGTATTATTTCATGTATATACTCCGGAGTAAGTGTATAATTCCGTGCATATATTTGTATTATTTCATATACAGCATATATATATATATATGTACATGTAATTTCATTATGGTATGGGCATTAAAAATATCAAGCATATCGAGGCGACGACGAATTGACTGTGTGCGTATGTATGGCCTTGAAAACGTTTAAAAGTACCTTGGAAAACGTACATTCTATCCAATCATTAGATATGATATCTTATGATTGGATAGAATGTACGTTTCCAAGGTACTTCTGATGTTCTTTTTCGTTGCAACGTACAGTAAATAATAGCTCACGATACTTCTTTCTTTCTTCCCGAGTTTAGTCTTTCAATCGAATTCAACATTTGATCCAGGACTAGTCAGACCTGCTTGAACTATAATTGGACACAGCTAATAATAATGGATGGTAGAGGGTGGTGTGAGCGACTGATTGACATTGACGAAACGAGTGACAACCCCGACCACTTTCGCTTCGTCGTGTCCCCGGGACCGACGCCAGCCACGCGGGTGTACATTGGCAAAGAGAAGATTGTCACCCCCGACGTCCAACTGCCTGTCAAGTCGGCCAACGTTTCGAATCCGTCCAAAAGTAAGAGTTATCCACAGGTTAATCGTGATGACATATTATGGTTCATTGAATTCATTCATATTGAGCACTTTTTTTTCACCGTGCGTTCAATTAACGTAAACTTGTATGAATTGTTATCATGTTGACAGTTTAAACGTGTTGGTGTATTGGATTCGGTGGGGGGGTAGGATGTGTTGTATATCGTACTTTGGCAATCTCCAATCAATTGGAGGGATGGATTGTAGTATATATATCGTCCTTTGCGCTGAAATTTGGACTTGGCTAGCTGATTCAAGAATAGAGAAGACTTTTCAATGTATGTATGGGATACACGTTTCACTACGAATACTTGACCATATTCTACCAATCGATGATTGGTTGAAAATTTGTACTAGTCGATGCGATACTACTCTGAAGTCCCAAATTGGAACGGTGTTGACAATACTGTGGACTCAAATATATTTCCGCATGCAAATATGATATATATAAAAAGTTGCAGAGGTTTCTACGACAACGTCCCTTCTCTTTAGCCAATCATAATGCGACGTTCATACTTTTTTAGCCAATCATACTGCTTTGTTCGCTTTGTCGGCGATTTCAACCATCCCCCAAATTGGCAAATTTGGGTGAAATGCGCATAATATGGTGTTATATTAGACCCCCAAGACATATTGGACGATTTGAATGAATCCGCGGCGAGGATCACTGCGCATTTGGAAGCGCTGGAGAACGAATCGTCTGTTGAGGTCGTGCCGGTGCTGTCCCCCGGTGTCCAAGTCGGCGATCGCATCGAAATCAGTCCGCTGGGGATTGCTTTGGTTCAGGACATGGCCAGCCGCATTGCAAAGCACGGCGGAGGTACGTTAAGGCGTCGATTTCATCACAAAGTAGTGACAGTATTGTTTATTTACCTATATATATATTATATATACAAACTTATCATTGATGGTGTGGATATATTGTAGCGGCGTTGGTGGTGGACTATGGCCGAGACCATGCGTCGGAAGTGAGTTTGCGAGGTATCCAGCACCACCAGTTTGTCAGTGTCCTGCGCGAGCCTGGCGACGTCGATTTGGTAAGTTTTTTTAACGTATATATATATATAGTTAGACGTATTTCGACGACAAAGTATCGAAGTAAACATATATATATACATGTTGTATATTAATTATCCTCAAAGTGGACGACCCCTGCTCTTAAAGCCTTTCTTCTCCACGAAAACCTATATGTAAATCGTATTTATATATTTAAATAGTATTTAATCGTATCGTATTTGTATGTTAAACATATTTTAAAATATTATTTATTTAATTTATATTATGGTAAATAGAGCATCGACGTGGACTTTAATACGTTGAAACGATATGCAACGGCCGAGCCCAATGTGCGGGCATACGGTCCGATCGGCCAGGGGCTGTTCTTGAAGGAGATGGGCATTGAACATCGCATGGCGGCGCTTTTCCAGCATGCGTCGGGTAAGAATATATATATATATATATGTGTTTCTGGATATATATATTTATATATATTGGGATATCCTGCAGAAGAAACGCAAGAAAACATCTACGACGCGTACGAGCGACTGGTGAACCCCGATCAAATGGGCTCGATTTTCAAAGCCATGGCCCTAGTGTCGGACAAAGTCGTGGGGGACCCCGTGGGGTTTCCTTCGAACGACACCAACTAAATAACCAGGCTTAACTACGACACCAACTAAGCATAATCAATGTCAAGTTGAAGTTAGAGGACTGGGTTGTCCGAGTGTGGAAATGACTTGGGAGTTGCCTACTATGAGAAGTGTAAAAATAGTAAAACTCAACAACACTACCGTAATGCGTCGAGGGCATTTGGTAAGCTTAGAGTACACTTTGCAGGGAATAATTCCCTCATTAAATCAGTTCCACTGTTGTTTTGACCCGAAATACTGTTTCAATGAGGGAATTACTACATCCGGATACACCTTTCCCTGTAACCTGGACTCCGTCCTACCCCCGGTGAGTACACTGTTGTTTTGACCCGAAATACTGTTTCAATGAGATTTATAAGAAACTTTGTATGCTCAGATCACCTCACCTCTTTCTTATTAGGGGTGAGGTGATCTGAGCATACAAAGTCCCTTATAAATCTCATCGAAACAGTATTTCGGGTCAAAACAACACTACGAACGGCCTGCAAAGGTACAGAATTGTACCTTTGCAGGCCGTTCGTAGCCATTAGCAAACCGTATACTACGGTTTACTGTACTGTACTGTACGTGTCGGGTGCGCCCTAGATACAATACATGTACGTACAGTGTTTACAATACAAAATTATACGTAATGCATTGTATTGTAAAATTCCACAGTACATTACAATACATCGATCGCAAATACCGCTTTAACCACGCATAGGGTCTGGTTGAAGTAAAATCCACCTGATTTTTTTTCGACGACTTTTTGGGTGAGAAAAAGTTAGTGCTGGTTGAAGTAATCCGGTAAAATAAATACTCCGTGAAGTATAAAATGCAGCAGAAAATTTTGCTGCAAAACGTCGGTAAATCGATTAGCATTGCGATGCTATTCACTGATTCCCATAGTTGCTGTACCACCATGGGAATCAAACAAGTACCTACTTTATGTGTCCCTCCACCGACACTTCAAGAATATCTAACAAAGTAACGAATAACTTTCTTTGTTATTATTGTTTTTCAATAAAGTGACGAATAATACGCATCAACTCTCCTTTGCGTCGATTTTCGACTTCGCGTATTTGTTGTCGCTCGAGTCGATCCTTTTCACGCTCCTCACGGTATTTTTCGCCTTCTAGACGCTCTTTTCTTTCTCTTCTAGTTCTTTTTCCAGTTTTGATTCGCTTGAACGCCATTTTTTCTCTTTCAAGAGAAATTTCCATTTCTTGAACATCAAAAATCATTTTACGTTTACCTGACGGTGTCGATTCGGTTGGCTCTGACTCCGAAGACAACTGACGGCCTTCACGCGACATGGCTTAGGCACGAAAAAACTTGGTATCAGCAGCTTTAATGGCCGCATCACTCGTTGGTACTCCACTTTTATTGACGATTGCATCCATGTAGAGCGGCACGAGGCCGTCAAGGAGCTTGGTCTTTGCGGTTTCGTCTTCTGCAACACCAGACAGCCGTGAAAAGGATTCGTTTTGGGCCTTGTGTTGACAGACCAGCAACAGGAACCGGTCTGTGCCTTCTTTCCATCCAGTCTACACCTTGTGAACCCGTCGATCGACAGGAGTGCCCCCGCCACGGCTTCCCATGCCCGTGTTGCGTCCTTTCGCTGCACAAAGGGGCGCTCGTTATTGGCTTGGGTGAGTAGAAAGATGTCGTCGTCTTCGGTCCATCGCTTCTTTTCTTGAACGTCGTAGAAGTTACCAAGCACCTCGGCGTTGCGGGTTCCTCCGATGTCTTCCATTGGGAGGACTTGGAAATAACCAGATAAAGCGGATTGATAGGCTGCCGTGAACTCGGTCGATTTGACGGCATTCCACATTAATTTTTTGTATAGCAGGTAAATATACGGCAACGACGTGGCAACGTGCTCCGAAATCTGTCTAGTATTTGGGGTCAAAACAACTGTGGAACTGTTTTAATGCGGGAATTGTACATGGAAAATGATCTTCCCGTGATACAACATGTGTACGAACCGTACACATGTTGTCAACAGCTACTGTACTCCTTCATCGGATACATTACACTGGTACTAGAATTGGTTAATTGAGCTTGGATTATCATTTGTTGAAGACATTCCTCCGCGAGGACCGCTGGTATTGGTCTGAAGTTGTTATAACATCTCAAGTACCAGTCTGTTAAGTACTTAACGCCGGGCATCAAGTACTACTAACGTACGCCGTCATAGACACCAAGCATCTCGCTCTCGTCCACATAGCAATGTCGTCGGCCTGTGCAAACTGTTTCGTAGACAATAGACATTTCTCGAGTTCACCAAAACATCTCACCATTGACAAGTCCATAATGATATATAAGCCAATGAGCACTACCGGTTACCGTACTCCATACGTTCGCAAACCATCGATATGTCGGAGAGGCGGTGTAACGTTAAGTGTTATTTCTCCCGCGAGAACAACGAGTTCGGTGCGTTGTCTCGATTAGTCGGGTTGTTACCACTAGGAAGTACATACTGTACCTGTACAGTAAGTACTACAGTAGTACTATACATGAAAAACGCTCAATAAATCTGGACACGGTCTGAAAACTGTTCAAACTAATTGGTCAATAGGTCAATAAACTCCAGTTAGATGAGGCATACTATTATACCACCATGACCACCTCAACTCTTAACCCTGGGATTTACAGTTAGCATTAACGTTAACGAGAGTTTTCTGAACTCCACTTTGGCCCAATTTCCTTTAATATTTTATAAGCCTCTATAACTTGGAAATCACTCAGGAGCTGTTGAGATACAGTAGGAGGCTTGTTATCTCAAAAGTGTCTCAAGTTTTAAGATTGGCGAATACGGATAATAGAGAGGTTTTGCAAGTGTCATGCTTTTTGTGTCAGAGGCAGTTCGAACGGAATATCAAACATAAGCTTACAGTTAATTGTCTTGCACGAATGCGTTGGCGTTTTGCTCACAAATATCCGTATCAGTAAATATTATTCGGATTTTCATCCACGGCGGGAAATCACTTTGTCCAGCGATGGTGCTCACACAGTGGGAATTGTCCTTGCTGCCCCCTTCGTGAAAACAACGACACAGCGACGTCGGTTCTTAGTGCTGTGTGCGTTAAGCTACGTTGAGCCCCCAGTTATCCCAAACATCCGGTACAACCTCAATGCTATATCCGACGCCAACGCACTGCTGGACTTTCGCTTCGACGTCATGGGAATCAAGAAGTTGGGCTACCTACTTGCCCAACTTCTTGATTCCCATGACGTTGAAGCGATGTCCCAAAGCGGTTCAGTGCCTTTTTGGCGTCAAGGACGGGCGTCCAAAGTCTTCATGTCCGGCAAGTTGATTTGCGACGGACGCCCACGACTTCATTACCTCGCCTTTCTTCGCTTGGAATGGGCGGTCAGAATTCACGTGACGAAGAAGCATGACATCTTCATTGTCGTTGAAGACGCGCCAATCAACAACTGCACCACCCGCCACTCAACCCTGACGTGTCAAATTTGGTTGGAGGGTCGTGCAGTTCTTGATTGGCCAAGAACCGCCAATCATATGCAGTTATCACGGAGCAGACTGGAATGCCAGACCGTGAGATGTGCAAATGCCAAACAGATTAAGGAGGACCCGTTCGCGTTGTACATAAGGTTTGACAGGTCAACTTCAATTTTGAGATAAGTTCCACAACGAGAATCTTATCTCAAAAGTGCTTCCGAAAACTCTGTAATAGAGAGTTTTCGAACATTATACTTCGAAGGATGTGCACGCGGGGGTAGGACGAAGTCCCGGGGTTGCAGGGTTCCGAAAAGAAAATTTGCTTGAACGGTTTTCAGTCTCGGCTGAACGGTATCCAGATTTTTACTGTTATAACGTCTTTACCATAGTTCCGTACCTACTACTCGGGGCTATTAATACGTAGTACCGGTACGTACTGCAGTTTCCTTACTACACTGTACTACACTACTACTACTGTACTATAACGTTTTTTCCCATAGTTTCCGTACCACACAATTAATCCGAGCGGGTTAATTGTGTGGTACGGAAACTATGGGAAAAAACGTTCTTAGTACGGTACTGTATAGTTCATGTCAACATTTGGTGAGATATGTTTCGTAGTACTAGTAGGCCATGGTGTCGAGAAGTATCTGAGCCTTGCAGTATGTTTCCAACTTGCCAATCAAACGCGTCGTCTAGTTGTCGGCCATTAACGTGAAGTATGCAGGACTTGACGTCTGGCACTTCTAAACAGGGATCCAAGTACAGTACCTGTACTAGTACATACACATGCAGCTTTCGTCCTTGGTCAAGACCATCCCCAGTGCGGATGGCCACAGCCCCGTACTTGTCAACGCTGTCGACTGCCCGCCACCAGACTGCCCGACCATGCTGCACTACCTCGAGCGATCAGTGGCCCAAAACCCCACGAGGCCATTTCTAGGCCACCGGCCAAAGGACGCCGCCACCGGCGCGTTCGGGGCGTATGTGTGGCAGACGTACGCCGAGGTCGTCCTAGCTAACTAACTCCAACCACCATTCCATTCATATTCGAGTGAGTGCAAAGGCTCATCGTGTGTGTTGTGGACGTAGGTGAACCGCCGCATCCGAGCGTTTTCCGCGGGCCTCGAGCACCTCAACATGATCGACCCGACACCGGACACGGGCGATCGCGTGCTCGGGATTTACATGAAGAACCGACCCGAATGGGTCGTGGCGCACTATGCGGCGATAGTCGCAGGGGGCTTCTCCGTCGCGCTGTACGATACGCTGGGCGCTGACTCGACCTTGTTCATTTTGAACCAAACGCAAACTCAAACTCTGGTGTGCACAACCTCCGAACTAACCAAAGTGATCGAGGCGAAGACGAGTGGCGCAGAGCACTTGAAGCACGTGGTGCTGTGTGACGTCGACACTACTACGAGCCACGTCCCGCAGCAGCAGCAGCAGCAAGCCAAGGACTCTGGTTTGACACTGTGGACCATGCAGGCCGTGGAAACGTCCACGTCACCTCCTTCTACCCCCACCGGTACTGCTAAAAGACCCACAGGCGACAGCATCTACTGCCTCATGTACGAAAATACATCTCCATCTTTCATGTATGATCTCCTCTTTCATATTATGATATCTCCACAACGATGACTCACATATAACATGGTGCTCATATGTGATTAATGCGATGATGCTTCGCTGCAAAGAAGATTACAGTAGTACTTTTTGTACGAATGCTTTGTCAAGTGGTGCCTTTACATAAATCCTCCATACATTTGTGTGTTGTTGGGCTTAGTTATACGAGCGGGACCACGGGCGAGCCAAAGGGGGTACCCTTGACCCACTCGAACCTCGTACACGCGATCGCCGGTCTGAAGCAGAGCGCCGTCCACCTCTGCGACCAGAGTATCCTCACGCCGGACGCCGTGCACTTTTCGTACCTGCCACTCGCGCATTCCATCGAGCATTTTAGCCACAGCGGCATGATCATGCAGAGCGCCGGCGTCGCGTTTTACCAGGGCGACACGGCCAAGATCCTGGACGACTTGGCGCTGGCGCGGCCGACGTTCTTCGGGGTCGTGCCGCGCCTTCTCAATAAAATCTACGATAAAGTTGTGCACGGCACCCCGCCTGGTCCCAAAGGCTGGCTGTTGAAAGTCGCGCTGAAAATGAAACTCAATGCACTCAAGGACGGCGTGTTGCGGCATGGGCTCTTCGATCACCTCATCTTTTCGGGGGTACATACCTATATATATATGTATATAGTTGTTGTTGAAGTAAACGTGATACTGTACATGCGGTGTGATTTTTATAATACACGTGGTCCTGGTCTTCAACAATAGTTTATTTATTTTATACTTCGAAGTAGTTTTGATATTTATATACTTGAATTACATGCTGTGGAAACACACGTGCGATGTATGGTGGTGGTATCATTTTTTATAGTAGGTGGTAGAATTATATACTACTCGTAGAATTTGATAAATCTTGAAATTTAAATGTTTGAAATGATTAAAAATTGATATTTACAGTATCTATTTGAAAGAAACGTAAGAGTTGTGGGGTGTAGTATACATACCGGTATATATCCGTGGATGCAATGTATAACCCTCATGGCGAACATGCTTCTTTGTGCACCTAGATTCAGAAAAAGATTGGACTGGATCGCTGCAGCATGGTGATCGTGGGCTCGGCGCCCCTTGCGGCAGACGTGATGGACTTCTTTCGTGTCTTGTTCGACTGTCCCGTCATGGAAGCGTATGGCCTGTCGGAAACCACGGGCATCGCGATGATGAACCACCCAAGTCAGTCCGTCGCGGGAGATGTCGGCACGCCGCTCGGCGAGAATCAAGTCAAGCTCATTTCCGTACCAGAGATGGGGTGGGTACAATAGCCTCATGATCGATTTGCTATCAAAGGAAATTGGGTCCACCAGACTATGACAAGGCCTTTTAGGATGGAGATCTGTGTTTATCGTGTATGGCGTTGTCTATTTACCCATAATTTGGAGGAGTTTTGTGTTGATTTTCGCCAAATATATCGATCGATTATACTTTGTACTGAAGTTTTATTGATTTTGTATGTAAAGAATTGTCCTGTGGGGATGATGCCAATCATATTCATTCGAGCCGTACACTGTATGACATGATGGTACTGGTTTTCGTGCAATTTGATTGGCTCAAACTCTTCTTTATTTGACATGTCGGTCCAGTTTAGAATAAACACAATAATACTGCTATCGATCTTCGGACATAATCTCTCTGTCAAAAGATATTACCCTCGCATTATGTCATCTGTCGATATCAACTAGTACCATTTCGTCATGACATCGATTCTGAATTCCTTTTACTGTATGTATATTGTCGTTTCAAAATTGTTATACATATATATATATATCGTTGGATTTCCATCCTGTGTGTGCCATCGTTTCATGAGTTCATTGTCGAGTGGTGTTGCGCGGGCGATTGATTTTTACACGTGTTTCTTGGATCTAAATCCACAGTATCGCAGATACTTGACGTCTGACACGACCCACGGCGACGCCTCGCACCGGATTCCCGTGCGCGGCCGCGGCGAAGTGTGTTTTCGAGGGCCCCAGGTGTTCCAAGGGTACTACAAGAACCCAACTGCGACGGCCGACGCGCTCGACTCGGACGGGTGGCTGCACACGGGGGACGTTGGTGCCATCCTCCCCGACGGCCGGCTCAAGATTGTTGACCGAAAGAAGAACATTTTCAAGCTGAGTCAAGGCGAGTACGTGGCCCCGGAGCGATTGGAAAACATCTTGGTCACAAGCGCACTGGTGGATCAGGTGTTTGTGTACGGCGACAGCTTCCAGTCGGTGCTTGTGGGCATAGTCGTGCCCCAGGAAGCCCCGCTACGCCGACTTGCCAATGAAGTGTTAGGGATGACCACCGCCGACACGACGTCGTTCCATGAGTTGTGCAGCCATCCCCAGGTTCGCCCGGGGTTGTTGTGGCTTTGTATTTTGGCATTTGTATGTTGTTGATATGGACTTGGATATGTGGAATTATAGGTAGTCGCGGCCGTGCTTCAAGATCTTGTGGTCGTGAGCAAACAAGCCAAGTTGTTTGGGTTTGAAACGATCAAAGCGATCAAGTTGCACCCCCATGTGTTTACCGTCGAAGATAACTTCCTAACGCCCACGTTCAAACTCAAGCGCAACGAGTGCAAAGCCGCGTTTGCATCCGATATTGACGCCCTATATGACCACTGTGGCGACAAGAAGGCGGCGGCTGCGTCCAACTAACTTCACAATCGACTTGACGTTTCGTCAATACAATTTTCACTGCAGCCAGCAAATCGAGCAAAACAGTATGATTGGTTAAAAAGAATTAACTTTGCATTATGATTGGTTAAAGACAATGAACGTTGCGTTATGACTGGCTAAAAAAGTGTAATTTGAACTCAGAAAAGGACCAGCGATTGTTGGGTTCATTCAGCCAACCGCTGGAGAAATTTTTGAATAGTACTATTAATAGTACACAAACTAACTACTCGGAGTAGTTACTACTATTACTGTAATATTAATAGTACACAATACTAACTACTCGGAGTAGTTACTACTTTTACTGTAATATTAATAGTACATTAGCATTGTGTATTAACGTTAGTACTATTAGAAGTCGTACTCATTCACGACGGAGGACGACTCGGAGTACACTGTACGACTTGGCAGTGTAGTACCGGTAGCTCTACTGCAAACAACGCACTGTAGAACTCGCGACGTATTTACAGTTAGTGCCATGCTTGCGATACTTAAAGTTAGCACCAACGTCCAGCAAGTACCGAAGAACTCGTACGGATTGGATATATGAAGCGGTTGGAATACTACAGTATGGGCCACACCAAATAAATCCTCAATGTCCTGTAGCCCAACTGTACCCACACATCTGCCGCCTAAGTCTTGGACGATTTGCTCGAGAAATACTGGAGTACGTACTGTATGTGGTCATAAATAGAATTGTTTACGCTGTTTGCGTATACCGACGCTTGCATACATGGTCGTCCGCGGTGGTAAACATACTGTCGACGTGTGCTTGAAACAGAGCTTTGGCCACATTGCGATCGACCTTTCGATTGCGTTGAAGTAACCCAGACTCGGAGGTGAAGTGCGTGGGGAGCAATGTGATGGCTCGGACTGTCTCGAAGCTGCATAGTTTGCCTTCTTTGCTCACCACAGCGATGTCTTGGAGCACGTGACTGACAATCTAATTCGTGAACATGAGTACAGTCAGACGTCCTGTACAAAACCACCAACACGTACGACAGGGTGCGCGCAAAGCTCGGTCAATGACGTGGCGCTGGGAATGGCCAGCTGCTTGGCCAACGCCATCAACGCGTAGTCTTCAGGTACGATCATGGCCACGAGAGCCTCGTGGGTGTCGTCGCCAAACACAATGGCCTGCGCCACGAACCAGCTCGTGTGGAGCACGTTTTCGATCTTCTCTGGTGCGATGTATTGGCCCTTGGGCATGGTAAAGCTACTGGACCGGGGATTCATGTGGCCATGTAATGAAGGCGTCGTTCGCTTTCGCAGCTTCGGCGGTGGCGGCGAAGGGGGCACGCGGCTTCCACTCGAACATCGTGCAGCTTGGAGCCACCGCCGTTGGTATAGGATGCCGTTGCTGCTCCCAATGCTGCCAAGTCAAGGATCATGATCAGTATCTGTGCTTTGGGTTGGGGGTTTACCTCATAGAGTCGTAGACTGTGGACGCTCGAGGCATCGCAATTACGCTCGTGCCCATTGAAGGGCTCGCAATAAGGTTATGCTGGTTTGTGACAAATGAACGTTACAGTGGGCGAGGTTTTTCCCAAACGGCATGGGAAAAACCAGAATACACACTTTGGATTGGGCACCGTTTCTGCTGAGTTTACCGGGATCAACGCTTTTCCCAAAATCGTGTAACGTTAGGAAATGGTCGGCCAATGCTGGACAATAATCGTTTTTGCTAGACTCGGTTTTCACTGGCTAACGTCGTAGGTGGATTTCAACCAATACAAGCACGTCGTGGTCGGGTAAGGTAGTGGTACTACAGTATACGCACTTGTTATGGAGCCTCTGTTCGACTCCCCGTGCCTGAGTGTGGGTAGCCGAATGTTGGTCACGCACGACATTTGAAGAATGTGACATATGACCTGGATCTGGAGAGGCATATGCTACGAGCTGATGGTACACTGTATCGATACATGACTTGTACTTCGAAGTAGAGAGTAGTGAAGTGAAAGGAGGGAACTGACTGATTGACTGGATAATGAAGCTGCTTTTGGATTTGTCATCGAGGTCACCGTTGTGAACACGGTAGTCGTCGGTTGCGAACACCGGCGCAAGACAACAGTAGTAAGTCAAACATAGGCAAGATCAGTGATCATGTATTTTGTAGTACTTATTATCTATTACACGGAGCGCTTCATTTGTGGAGAATTCCCGATACCATCGCAACTTTCAGGTCGTTTCGTCGCTTTTGCGCTTCTTATTGCGTCCGGTCAGTTGTGGACCAAGCACGCGAAAGACCACATCAAACTACTCGGTGACGTAGCGATCAGCTGGACGGTCGTAGTCATGGGCTTGGCACCAGTTTCGGCATCGAAAATGTCCTCCATTCGGCGCATCAAGTATTTCCATTGGGCGTACATGTTCTTGGTCGCCTCGGTCGCCAAATCACTACTGTTGATACAGCAGAAGGGACGATCTTGTGTAGAATCATTTCCCACAAACCACAAGATCCAACCTGCGTGCAAACTCACGCTGGGGAACTGAAATTTCTCCTGTAGCTGATAGCATTGCCCACCCCAGAGGTATAGACCATACCCTTTGCATGTCAGCGTTGGTGCTCGTGGTGGGGGTCGTGTTGAAGGGAAATTGGTGAAATCATGTCGCCGTTGGAATGTCCCATCGGTGGCATGGTGTCACCAATAGTTGTTGGTGAAACCAAGCGCCGTTCGACGTTGCCGTCGTTGCCATCACCACTATCGCGATTCCACTCGGTGCGTAGTGTCGATGCGGTTCGCATCGATTGAAGTTCGGTGAGTGTGACTTCGACTTTGGCGTGTACGTTGGGAGCTCGCTGTGAGCGGTTTGCAGTTTGTCGTGGGTGGATTGCAGTTCATTGCGCATCACTTCCAACTATGTGTACATGTGGACGTGTGGGGGAATGTCCGTTCGTCGGATGTTGCCATCGTTGATCGTCAGTCACGTTCGGTGCAAGCCGATGCAAGTCCACGTTCCAAAACAGCACGGTGGAAAACAACGCATGATGCTGTGGCAACGTATCGAGGAACCACTCCCTGTGGTACACGACACTCGCCGCACACATACGCAACACCGTCGAGATTTACATCGCGTTGCAAAGCGTGGGAAAAACACGCGCACTTGAAGCTAGGTCCGACGACAACAAGTCAGACGAGTCCATATTCGAGGGTAACGACGACGAGACTCTGACCCAGTCTGTTGTCGCGCTCACATCTACGAGTCCAATTGCTCGTTTTGAATTGAACGACTTGGACACCTCGTCAAGTCCTACGCCTGGGACGTTATCGCTACTGTCGTCTACCAGTCTTGATGCAATCTACGCATGTGGTGACGACTTGTACCTTCTAACTTAACATTGAAGTCCAGCTGACGTGGAGAGACGAACTTCTCCCGAAAAAGACGAAACCAGTTTGTACTGGACCAGACGAGATAGCTCTTTTACTCTTCATCACCGCCTCGTCTGGCCCTGCCGGGGTCCGACTTCGTTCACGAGACTGCCGTCTACAATCCTGCCTTACCATTTGAATTGTCCACAGTCGCTCACGTGGATCCGAGATCGAACTAAATTCCCCCCAACTGATGGACGACTACGACTTGTCTGCCCGTCCAGACGAATCCATGGGTGTCGAGGCCATTACGGACCATGTCGAGCTCAGTCCGCTATTCGACATGGTGCCCATTCATCAACCTATCATGGAACATCATCAGCAGTTAACGATATTTGAACCGGACCAACCATTTGGTCTGGCTCCTGTCGTTCATTACGACCAACCTATGGAGATCCACGCGACTGATGAAATGCCGTCGTTGACGATGTCACCGATCTTGACACTTGACGGACCACCTCCCATCCGCTCCATTCTCGACGACTTTGGTGAAATAGAAACGGACGATAACTCGATCATGGAAGCTACTACCGAGTCGGAATTCGTCTACCCGTGTCTGGCAGTTAGCTGCTACCGACGAACTTGTCCACCTCGGCAACGCTGTTGATACAGTGACCGAACGGAACAAGATTTGACTCAAGACGTTTCGTCGATCCAAGTTGAACTTCAAGCATTGTACGCTTCCGTGAATCTCCTTCCCCCTTCTGCGTTGGCGGTTTCAGATCCAACGGCAATTTCCGTCAATGCTCGCGTCATTTCTGAATTGCATTCTTCGTTGCAAAGTCAAGCCTCGGCCACCGCTCTACTGCAGACCGCTCATCACTCGTACGAAGATCGTGTCTCCCGTGAAGTTGAACACCTCTCGTCTGACGTCCAAGATCTCGATCGTCTCCTCCACGAACAACTCCCAGCACCACCCGCCCTTTCAGAGACACTCGTCCCTACCTCGAAGCGCTTCGCCAGGAAAACCAACTCTTACACGAACGCGTCTCGTCTCTCGTCCACGACAAGACCCTTCTGCAAGACCGCGTGCTACTTCTCGAAGCACGCATTGATCGGCTCAGTCTAGACTTCTCGTCCTGTCTTGCCCAAGCTTCGATCCATGCACCCAAACCATCGTCGGGCTATCCTTTTCAGCTACCTTCTGAACGCACTGCCCTCTTGACCAAAATGTCCAGTGAAATGGTTGACGTCAAGGAGACTATCGACACGTCCTCGAGCAACCAAGCATTCGGTCGCGCTATGAAATACACTACCATCCCGTCGTCGGACGCCCATGATCACTGCGAGTACTTCATGAAGCAACTTGTGGAACACGCTGACCGTGGTGGTCTGACCGACGACGAGCGCAAGTCCCTTCTCGGTCTAAAGCTCTCGGCCGACAAGACCCGCACTGCCCTGAACGCCTGGTGGATCTCCTACTCCAAGATGAAAGGCGGTGAGGTCTGGTCCGAGATCCATGATAGCTTTGTGGACCAGTTCCGCAGCAGCACTCCTCGCGACCACGTGGGCAACCTGATCGAAGCATCTGAGCGTTACATGGACGAACCGGAAAATGCATACGCAATTCGACTCCAGACGATCTTGGACGAAGTGGACTTCCCAGCTAGTAAAGGGGTTGCCATGTTCAAACGCGGAGTACGACATGCCCATACAGAGTCATGTCTCGAACACACCGACCGCGAACTCAAATCGACCGCCAACTTCATGAAACTCCTTCGCGCGCGTGAAGTTCGTCTGGACGAAATAAGTGCAAAGCCCCAGACGTACGCCAAGCCTCGATCCAACTCCTCGGCCTCTACGTCGGCGTCGTATCGTACAACTACCAGTGAACGTTCAACTCCTCCGGCGTCGCCTCTTCTGTCACGCCGCAGATCTCATGTCGAGTTTGAAGACTAAGCGGCGATGCCGCAACTTCTCGGACTCATGACGACGAACCATGCCCAGCAACAAAAGGCGTTCGTCGCGTTGATCGAGCGTTCGAACCAAGTCCAGCAAGGGTTTGTCGACGCCTTGAGTCGCCAAACTCATCCCAATTATGCTGTCCCGATCCAGCCGACGCAACCATATGGCTTCGCCTATCAACAAGCGGCTCTGATCCAGCCTGCGACTTTGTCTTTTGGACAGCCCTATTAACAACCATATGCTCATAATACAATTGCACCTTCCGGTCACGCGGCCCTTCCACCGAACCTGACACCGACTCATAATCAAATGGCCGGTGCCGGACGTACTCGTGTTGGCCATACCCCAGTGGTGATCACGTCCAAGCCCGACGAAATGACGGTCAGCGGCCAAAACGTTTGTGGTCGTTGTGATCGTCGTGGTCATGGTTCCAGCGAATGCTCTCGACGGACTATGCACTGCAACTCTTGCGGCCAGACGGGACACTACCCAGGCCAACGTGTCAAGCTCTGTCGTCAAGTGCCCATCCAAGCCCGCAAATCAAGCCTGAGGCTTTGGCGCTGAGGTGAACCTTACGGAAACGGGTTTCGTCTCGGCTTGCCACACTCATCACGCTCCCTATGTACCTGACAACGATGAATCTTCCTTCTCTTGTCCGATCCCAATTGTTACGACGGAGGAAGGACTCCACCGTTCAATCTTGGACTCAACTCGAACGCCACATCTCTCTACGCACACTCATGTTTCACGACGACGTCCCCCGCCGACGGACTCTGTTCGTCTGGCCAAGCTTGAGTCAAACTCTTCACCTACGCACTCAAAGCCCACGCCGACGAACCACGTTTGTCTGGCCAAGTCTGTTTGTGACGAGTCCAGCTCCTATTCAAGCACCATCACTCGACTCGACGGTTGCTTCATCGACTTCTCGCAATCAGGTCCGCAAAGGCGCGGACGACCAACCTGCATGCCCAGTCTTCACGGACGCTGAAGTCAACGGCCTTCTTTCGTCGTGCCCTGAAATACGCGAGGAGGAATATCCCAGGGAAATCGAGGATCGACTTTACCCGATTACTCCAGCTGACGTCCGCATGCAGACTGATCGCAAGAACCCTGCACAGGACGAGATACTCAAAACTCTCATCCTTCCGTCGGATGCCCACCTACTTCTGGCCCCGGCAGACATCGAGGACGAAGCCAAATGGTATGCCTGGTTCGCAGACACGCTCAATAAGTGTGGCGAGGCCAAACACTCAAATCGCGACTTCAAAACATCCGAGGCGATCGCTCACATACAATGGGTCGACCCTAATCCTTACGACGTGCTATATGAGGCCGGCGACGAGTTTAACGACTCGCCTTGCCCTGGACTATACGCGGTGCCTGATAACTCACCTTCGCCAACGATGCCAAATGCTTCACCATCGCCTGGCACACACGTCGACTAGTTGGACGACTAAGATCTCACGTCCAAACCACATATTGTTTTCTGCAATGAACTACCACTCGACTACCCATCGGACAAGTCCTCCCAGTCCACCGTGGCTTGCCAACGCATTCATTTACAGGGGACCGAAACTATCATCGTCGCTCGTCAAAACTAGACCCGACCACGGGTGATGCGGCCTTCCATGGCACAAATTTGATTTAACCTTTTATGCCATTTCTTTTGTTGTGTTGCGCGTACTGATTAACCATCCTTACTGCGAGTTCAAAAGCAACTTCTACTCGCAAAGGGGACCCGAGTAGAATGATCTGATATGTAAGTCCCCCCACCTAAGGTGGCGAAAATCCTGCGGTGGTTCCGCATGGTACTTGAATATTCAAACCAGCAACTCATCAGGTTCATTCACCTTCTTATCTTCACAACTACTATATAACTAGGCTGCACTTTGTGGACCCATTCGCTCAGTGCAAACATATTTCAAAATGTAAGTATTATCAATTTAAACTTTTCAAATTGATGCGTTCAATTGCAATAGTCGTAGCTGATTAATCGACGACAAAGGCGATGGGTCTTCGACTAGCCCGGCACGAAACAGCCCGTCAAAGCGTTGAATGTGGGCATCAAAGTGCCCAACACAGTGCACCTCACGCAGTTTCTTCAAGCGCGCGCCGCCTGCCTCAGCTTTGATTCCTTTTTCTTTAAAATATAATCCCAACTTCACCTCTACTGACTTCCCTAGCTTGAGTACTTCGTCGCGGTATCCATCTTTGTGCTCATCTAGGCTGTATCCACCTTCGATGTAAAGCCGCATGAAGTCAACAAGCAGCTTCATGTCCGAGCGACGTAGACGGTTTCCGTCGTTGCCTTGGTTCCATGGACGTGGGACCAGCGTGAACCACTCAAACCTCAACGTGGACGGTATAATCGCTTCGCCTCGGCTCTTCTTCACCGGTACCACATCCAATTCGGGTACATCGGCATCCCGCTTTGCATCCTTCGCGAGCGGCGTTGTTGACTCTGCTACGACTCCAACCACTTGGCAGATGCGATTGAGCAGGCAGTTGATGTGACTGTGGACTCCGGGCAGAGCTGCAACTTACACCATCATTGTAACCGCTGCATCCATGGGCTGCTCCCGACGACGGCCCCGAGTGGTCGGTTGGGATCGACGATATCGCTTCCACTTGTACTGGCGCCTCAAATGATGGTAAGTTACCAAGGGAGGAGGCATGTGGCGTCGATTGCATCACCACAGCAGCAGCCATTGCGTTAAGGGGGCACCCAAAGAATTTCTCATCGTAATATAACCACAAACCTTGTTCATCTGATGTCTTCATTCGCATCAATCGTGCGATTAGTTCACCGGCAGCGCTGACCGTGAGATTGCCTTCTGTGTGACGACAGATCCGTCACACGGCCAAATAGATAACATAACAGGCTGAACATACCGGAATCCGTGTAGTCGGTAGAGTACGAAGGTGGTCCTTAGTGCACGCTGGGGCCTTTTTGACAAACCGGCCCGAATTGCACTTCATGCAGTACCGGTCGAGGGTAAAGCCTATTCTTAACAGCCTGGCGGAGACAGCGGCGCTGAGTTGGTATAGTTAATCACCTACAACTGGACGTGGCGGTTGTACGACATGACTGTGTTCCGAGTGATCTGTTTCCCACTTTTATATATGTGTTAATGCTAGCGTTTGTATTGCACATATTCATATTTCGTGATCCATTCGGACAAAATCTGTCCGATCTCGTCCTAGCAATTACGTATACATCGATTGGCTGCAAAACAAAAAATGCAAGTATAATTGGCTGTTAATCATGTCCCCGGATTGGATTGGTTATAACTCCGGATACAATGCACAAGTATGTCCGCTGGTGATCATCTTTACCCATAACACAGAACGTTAGTATACCATTATATAATTGTACATTTTGTATGAAATAATGTATTACAATATCATAAATATCAGGATCAGACGTGTATTTCTATTCAAAATGATATAATTACGACAGAGCATTCGATGACATGACGCGCGGCCATGCTCCGGAGTACCATGGTACACCGGAGCAAGGCAAACAAAGTTGTGCGCAATGACTCGTAATGTTAGCTCTCATTTTATTACTAACATCTCGTGTTGCTTCTTCCTGAATAATCGCCTTACGCATAGAACAGTAGATGCCACAGGACACATGTTGTCAATGGAGAATGTTGCATTCATCATGGATTGTTAATTTCCAAATATATCTGGTATATTCCGTGGAATCCCATTTAATTTCGTGAAAATTCATTATATTTCGCGACCTTGGCATTTAGTTTCATGGGAACGTCGAATTCACTCATTATATTTCGTAGACTGTCAGTATATTTCGTGGACTGCCAATATATTTCGTGATTTGCTCCCTTAGATTCGCAAAACCGTGTATATTTATTCATTTGTTACATGTTACATACTACTCGGTTCCGGTACTTTTGTCAGGTAGTTTTTCATTTGATTAAAGTATTCAACATTCATTCGAAACAACTTGAATTTTGTATTGAGCTCTAAAACCACATATTTTCAACAAAAATTTTATTGTATTTTTTTAAGTTGATCGGGAGTACTTATTCAAGATAATCTACCAAGGCTTCCATGGTGGCTTCTTCGCCCAGACGCTCATGCAAATGAGTCAATGCGCTCTCGTAGGAATAAGCATCGCACTCGACATTATACAAAGCAAAGTCAGCAATGTTAGCATCCTTACTCATACGAGGAAGTTTGTAGTTATTGCTGCCATGTATTTCAATGGACTTTTCCATAACCTTTTGAAGGGTTATGAATGTCTTTGCAAGGGTATCTGTCGACAACTCATAAAACGCACTTTCCACAGCACCAATAAGTTCCTCGATTGAACGAGTAGACTTTTGGTACTGGAGACTTTGAATAGAATTAAAAAATCCTAAATCTAAGACGTTGAAATCTGGACTATTCGGGGGTTGGTTGACGACTCCGATTCCACGAATGCCTTGTTGTTGGAGAAATTCCGAGGTCACACGGCGATGTGGGCTTGCATTATCCTGTTGGATAAGCACTTGTCTGCGCCTCCAATCGCCAGGAAACTTGAGTTGGATCGACGGCACAACCTTGTCCATGATCGTATCACTGTACACCTTGGCGTCGACAGCGAGAAGAACAGTAAGCAGGGTGCCTTTTGGTCGGTTCTTGCTTGCACGCGCAGCTGGCGACACGTGAACGAAAGGCCAGACACCAAGCTTGCCATCCCATTGTTTCTTGGAATAATGGTCGAAACGGGGCCTAGCAACAGCAGCAAGAAACATCACTTTAGTGATGAATCTCTTCGACTTGACTGAACGTGCAGCCACTTCCTCGTCATCATACACATGGTACCTTCGTTTGACCTTTGTCAGATAGAACCACTTCTCGTCGACATGCACATATTCGTACATGTTGGCGAAACAGTGGCGTCCATCTAACAAGGGTCGAACGAAGGACATTGCGTACTACAGACGAGCTTCGACGTTCTCCGGCGTCAAGAAGGGCTTGACGTAATTCGACCTGGCCTTGAATCTTGGTGTACTTTTCTTGTGTGATGTCTTCGGGACACCACTGGCAATGACCAAAGATCGAAGTGTCTGGCGGGCCAGCTGTGGAACTTGACGAATTGCTGCCTCGATTTCATCGGGCGTTCGGGATGGTTTGCGGCCAGTTTTACCTAATAAAGTAAAACTCCATAATTCAATACTCCATAAAACGAATTCAATATCATGTTTCAGACGTTTTCTTACACATGTTGGTGCTGACATCGGCAGTACCGCCGTCGCCGTGGACAGAGAGTTTGGCACGTCGCCAGAGCCGTGAAATTGTCCGCGGGTGGCAGCCAAAGCGCTGTGCCGTCTTTGTTAGAACTCCAAGTGGGATATCCCCGTTCACAGCAGCGCCCAGGAGCATTTCATAGACACCACGGCGCTCGTCCAGAGTCATGTGCTTGTTGCGTTTACGGGGCGAGTTTGACGCACAGGAAGCACCGGAATGAGCCCCGACGGATTCAGTAGGCATGAATCGATGGTAGAATCTTAGGTGCACGATGTAGTTGGGCTCAAATGGAGTTGTGAGCTTCCAGCGGGTCATGACCCCTAAAATGTTTGGTGGCTACCAACTTTAAAGCGCCAAAACTTTTGAACAAAAAAACTTTCTGGAAAGCCCTTAAACTACCCAATCAATGGTAAGATTTTGCGCCGATTGATGCGCCAATCAGATGAGAAATCTGCTGAATATTAGAAAAATCCCGCCAATCAGAAGGGACACCTGACAAATGTATCGGAACCGAGTAGTATACTACTTGGTTTGTGGGGTCGCCAACGGAAAAGGAGAGACTATGGAGGACGGCCACCACTGCGCTCGCCGGCAGAGGACTATGGGGTACAACGACGGTGGAAGTCATCGCAATATAGCGTAGCAGGTACTCCAGGTGTTTTAGCGACTCGACGAGTGCAAACCCTTTATGTTCTTCGTATATAGTGTGTGCATTGGTGGACATCACAGCGGTCGTCCACCATCATTACCCCACTGTCCACCGCAGCATACTACAATGTAACTCTATTATCGATGCACTCCTGCACACCACTGCCTTGTCGCCGTCGCCCCAGATAGCAGGAAGACGGTCACCGCTGCACTACGCGGCGGTGGCGGTCGGTTGTTCGTAAAATGATGAGCTGCGCTACGAGGCACTAAAATATAACCTGTATAATACGTTATAAGTTTGTGGCGTGGAAATATGCAAGACCTGTAGCATATTGTTGACACCGTTTCGGGAATGTCAAGTGGTGCTTTTCCCTCGCCTGTGTTCACGCCTTTTGTCCTCGCCTATTTCTCCCAAACTCTATCGCCTAGTCTACGTACGAACTCTGACAGGACGAGACAGTGGCCGCTTTATACCTGCATGTTCTGCATATTCTTCATGTCGCAACCCTACCCAGTTATTGCTCACACAATCACGGCTCTAGCACAAGGAAAAGAGCGCTGATTCTCACAAGTCAGTGTTTCTCTTTGGCTGAGTTTTAGCCAATAGGAACGAAGCTAGATAGTTTGTAAACGACTGAATGCTACTTTTCGTTTTCCCCTGTCCCGCACACTTGGTTTGTCTTGGATACTCTGCGCAAAGTTGCTACACGCCTATCGCCTACACCTACCTCCTGTTTCTTGCTTCGTGACAGATTATGAGCCCTCCTGCTTCGACCATTACCGCCTACTCCGGCATTCTCATCCACAAATGTGACCAACGAATTTTGCATCATTGTTGTCTGGTTGAAAATAAAATTATACTGAAAATCGCCAAACGAAACGTTACAATTTTGAAACCTATTTAGGATGAATTTGACCTAGGTTTGACATATTTGAGGTCCGGATACCAAATGGTATACAAGGTATGTACAGTACCGGTATGTGTAGTAGTAATAAGTACTAGTACTCCGGAGTACTTCATTCTGGAACGGAGGAAGTATTTGTTGGCGATTTTCCCAATGATAATGGCTCACAATTGGCAAGTTTAACCCGAAAGCACAATACACGCGTGAAAAATGAAAAGGCATGGATGTTACATGGAGAACCACTGTTCCACTGTATATCCCTCCCTCCACCCAAACAGCGTACTACGTAGTACTTCTACTAGTTCTACGTATCCGGGTAGTACTTGTATCAATTGCATTCGTCAGTGGATGTGCTTGCTATATGGTACCATATGCGTTCCACCAGTTTGCACGACGAAGGGGGTCTTTGTTTTGTGTTGTGCCGGAAAATGGCATCTTGGCTTCTGTGTTGAAGTAGTAGCCACTCTATTAAACTGGAGGATGATGGCGTTTTTTACTTAGAGTATCAAATCTTCAGCGTTAAAGTATTCAAGTCATGTGTGAACAAGCGTTACAGAGTAACGAGCAGATCCTCCAATGCGTTAACAGTAAATCGCGCCATTACGTTAAACTATAAAACCACTTCTACCTACATTTATCTACCAGCTGGCGAGAACACGCTTTGTCCGTCGCACATTTGCATTTGCCACCTCAGACAGACATGCTGGTCTCTCTGCTCACAACACCGTTCGCGCTCGCCGCGGCGGGCCTCCTTGGTTTTATTGGCTATCTGTGTACGATCCCGTCGAAGAACCTTGTCAAGGTGCCGTCTAACTACGTCATTGTCGACGATTCCGAAGTCAAGCCGGGACATGGCGCCGTGCACCGCGTGGGCACGACGCCCAAGCCGTCGTCCCCTTCCATGCTGGACTCGCTGAAAGCCACCGTCGAGAAGCACGGCAACAACGCGTTCCTCGGCCGTCGTCCATTCGACAAGGATGGCAACGCACTCGACTACGTGTGGGAAACGTACGCGCAAGTGTACTCGCGCATCCAAAACTTTGCCGCGGGCCTTGTCCACGAAAAGATGTTTGAAGTCACGAGCGATGGTGAGAAGCCCCTGTGTCTGTACATGAAGAACCGCCCGGAGTGGGTCATCGGCCAGTACACGGCCATGTACCTCGGTGGGTTTGCCGTCGCGCTCTACGACACCCTCGGCGCCGACTCGACGCAGTTCATCCTCAAGCAGACCCAGTCCTCCACCGTGGTGTGCACCACCGCCGAACTCGCGGGCGTGTACGCCGCCAAGGCCACCACATCCACGCTCAAGTTTGTCGTTGTCGTGGACATCGACACGATTTCGCCTTCGCAGGCGGACGCCGCTGCTGCCGCGGGCGTCAAGCTTGTCACGCTAACCCAAATCGAAGCCATTGGGGCCGCCCATCCCGTCGCCTCTGCGACGCTTGCTCCCAATGACATTTACTGTCTCATGTAAGGACGCTCTCATGATGTGAACGATGCCATTGGTGTGTTTGGTGACATGCTTCGACTCTGCTCCGTTGCCGTCCGGATAATTTTCCGTCGTTCGTCGATGGTTCATTGTATTTTGTCTTTCTTTTATCCCCGACAATTCGATGTTGATTTGGTGGTCGAAGAGTGGATTTTGATTGGCTACTTGATTCGTGATCTGGATTTTGATTGGCTACTTGATTCCTTATCTGTATTTGTTGTCGTCTGGTCACTTGATGGAGCACTCCCCCCATATGTCCAATATGTCGAATCGACTGGGCAATATTCTCACGGAGATACTATTGTAGCTACACGAGCGGGACGACGGGCGACCCCAAGGGCGTGCCCATCACGCACTTGAACGTAATGAGTGCGGACGAAGGCATGCGCGAGCGCATCTGCGTCGGCAACGCCATGAAGACCTTCACCCACACGGGCGTGCACATGTCGTACCTGCCGCTGGCCCACTGCATCGAGCACATCATCCACACGATCATTATCATCGAAGGCGGCCGCATCGGGTTTTACCAGGGCAACACACTCAAGTTGACAGAGGACCTGGCGGTGCTGCGCCCGACGCTGTTTGTGACCGTGCCCCGCCTTCTCAACAAGATCTACGACAAGGTCGTCAACGGCGCGCAAGCCGCGGGTGGACTCAAGACGTGGCTGTTCAACCTGGCGCTTGACACCAAGCTGACCAACTTGAAGAAGTACGGACGAACGCGCCACGCTGTGTTCGACAAGCTCATCTTTTCCAAGGTAAATATTTATATATATATATATATATATATATATTTGTGTGACGTGGTGTCCGATGTCGTGGGTGGGTGGGTGATTGTTGTCGTAATTGTCGTGATTTGTTTGGACTGTGGTGCAGAGTCGCCAAATCTATCGATCGATTGTTTGAAACAGTGTTGCCATTCACACTAATTAATAATTAAAGTCGAACACTTGTTTCGATGTAAAGGGGTATGTCGAGTGGATTGGATTGGATTCGTGTGCTAGGTTTTGATTGGCTGATTCATTTGATTGAGCAAGAACCGATATGATTGGTTGAAATGTTTCGTTAGTGTGATTTGATTCGCAATCACATAAATACATTTGTCAATCATATGCATTCGATTGCACTCGAAAGTCGTTCAAATTGAATTGGCCAACTTTGGACTCGAAACGTCGTGGCTAGGAAACAACAACGTAATGTGTGTGTACTACTACGATGGTTCACAATGTGATTGGAGTGGTTGGTTTCATATCGTCGTTTGATAACGACATTTCAATTGCTAATGGGGACTGTAGATTCAAACCAAAGTGGGCTTGGACAGGTGCGAGCTCATCGTGACTGGGTCGGCGCCGCTCGCTGACGACGTGATGAACTTTTTCCGCATTTTGTTCGACTTTCCCGTGCACGAAGGCTACGGCCAGTCGGAAACTGTGACCGCCGGCACCATGACGCACTCGCTGGACGTGACCTGCGGTACCATCGGGGTGCCCATCACTCCCATGGAGATCAAACTGGTATCCATTCCAGACATGGGGTACGACTTGGCTTGTGTATTTATTGAACGCTGTCACATGAAACTGTGTCTTGCAAGATTTGGGATGACAAAAATCAACGAAAAAAGAATTGTTTTTTTTTCAATGCATCTTCATGCATGAAACAAAAATCAACGAAAAAAGAATTGTTTTTTCAATGTACTTCAAGCGTATTCACCCCCCGAAAACAAAAAAAAGTTTTTTCAAACGTTTTATTTTTGTGCTTGTTTTCCTATCATTTTAAGTACAATATGTCCACGACGAAAATTTATTTTTCATCGTTTGGTTATTGTTATTGCTCGTGTTCTGAACTAGGACACATATCTTGTGTATAGGTACAACGTGACAGATACGACACACGGCGAAGACGACGCGACGCGGATGGCTGTGAACGGTCGCGGTGAAATCTGTTTCCGCGGGCCGCCCGTGTTTTCGGGGTATTACAAGGACCCCGCGCGTACGGCGGAAGCGTTCGATGCCGATGGATGGCTCCACTCGGGGGACATTGGCGTGTGGACGTTGGACGGTCGGCTCAAGATTGTAGACCGCAAGAAAAACATCTTCAAGCTGAGCCAGGGCGAGTACGTCGCGCCCGAGAAGATTGAAAACATCCTCATCACGAGCCCATACGTGGCGCAGCCGTTCGTGTACGGCGACAGTCTGCATAGTGTCGTGGTGGCTATCGTCGTGCCGGACGAGGCCGAGCTGGCAAAGCTCGCGGCGTCTCTCGGGGTGGCTTCTACTTCGTTCGAGTCGTTGTGCGCGAATCCAGAGGTGGTAGCTGAGGTGCTCAAGTCGCTGGCTGTGTTGAGCAAGAAGGGCAAGTTGTACGGGTTTGAAACGATCAAAGCGCTCAAGTTGGTACCCGAACCGTTTTCGGTCGAGAACGACCTGATGACCCCCACGTTCAAACTCAAGCGCAACGAAGCCAAGAAGAAATTCCTCCATGACATTGACGCGCTGTACGCCAAGTGCGGCGATCTCGTCGCGGGCCACAATGTGCACCAGCATTAGCGCGCTACGAAATGACGGAACATGGAACGTTGTTGGGATTCGTAGTGGTTTACAGTTAGGCTCGAGAGAAGACGCTATTACAGTTCGATGATAGATACGCTGAGGACGACTATTAATACTAGTAGTTGAGTTTACTACAGTATGGAGTATGGTGCACTTCATCTAAAAACTTCCAACTGGCCAAATTGAAGAGTGGAGGTTTTATTATTTAACGTGCAATTAATGTAGTTAAACCCAAAATCCAGATACGTTAAATACCGATTTCATGCGTTTTATCACTGGAGTGGGAGGTTAAAGGTCCCAACTGCCTCCGGATATTAAATACGGATAAGAGTCACATACAAAAATCAAGACATATTTGAGCGGCCAAATATCCAAGCGCCCATGTAAAATACCGCTACGTTAAATATCTATTTCTGGACCAATTCATCACAAAATTTGAATCTGAGACGTAGAATTTCTTCACCACATTGAGATCTGTCGATTATACGTCTCAATTTGCTGCAATTTTGAGTAATGAATATGAAATAGAAGTCAGAAAATTTTGTGAAAAGTTGGTAGTTTATAGATGACGTGCACCATAGTATACACCTTTTTGCGGTTAATTGCAGCTTTTCATCACTATATTTCGCTTAGCTTGCAGTATATTTCACGAGACGACCGATATATTATTTCGCTTACCTCCATTCAATTTCGTGGCGACGACTATTAGTGGGAGCAGCTTTATAGCCTCATGATTAATTGAGTTTGAATTATCAGAGAACGATATCGTTCATTGCGAAATCTCCTTTGCCATCAGACATTCCTCCGCGAGGGCCGATACTAGAACCACATGCTGTGGAACCGTTTCGCCAATTGTAACGCGCCTGCTCGACAAGGGGCGGTGTGTAATTATAGGTTTTTACTTCGCTCAACGCTTCATATGGTGCATTTCATCTAAAGCCTACAGATTGGCCATCCTCAGGAGGAGACGTTTTACTATTAAACGCCTCGGTTATTTTCAGTTAAACCCCCGAAATGTTGACGTTAAATTATTTTTACTTACGTGTTTTATCTGGTAAATAGGTTAAACATCCTGAATAATCCGGGTACAATGGAAACGTTCATACGGATAAGTGCTGTATACAAAGACCAAGATATACTTAATGCTCCTTTTCGGTCAAAATGTGCCTGGCTCCATATATTTCCGTACAAAAAGGCTGGTTGGTTTAACTGTAAATTCTATTACTCGATCAATTTTTCACCAATCGAAATTTTGAACCGTAACTTCTGTTTGTCTTGACCAGTTCTATCGTTATTACGGCTTATTTTCCTAAAACATATCAATACAACGTTGGAATAGCTGTCGAAAGACAAGGCATTTTTTTGTAGTCTTTAGTTGAAATGCACCATACAAAAAAATGCCTTGTAAAACATCTCCTCCTGAGGATGGCCGATCTGTAGTCTTTAGATGAAATGCACCATAGTCTTTAGTTGAAATGCACCATACCTCGTGCTTCGACCGACCTTCTTCGAAGTTCGGTCCTCGTCTTCGTACGCAGCACTTGTTATCCGGATTCCCCAGGGGAGGGACATGACTTGAAGCGTAGATCGAAGCGATGGAGAGGTTAGGGAGGGGGAGGGACATGACTTGAAGCGTAGATCGAAGCGATGGAGAGGGTAGGGGGGTTGAATGTACTCGCCAGCTACCCTCCACATAGAACACCTTTACAGTAACACGTTATATGATGTAGCTAAATACTCGATTGTGTTGCTTCTGTACCGATGAGCCCATTGCGCTGTCGATGTGGCAGCAACAGCGATGGTTGTGTTGGCAACGAAATCAGTGCAGTGACGTTATATTATTGCGAGGCGGGCGCCGCCAAGTGAAATTCGCATACCATAACATACGCTGGTATACCGTGGACAACGCGGCCTTGCCCGTAAAACGCTTGGTCGCCGCCCTCAAGCCCATCATCTAGACACATACAAAACCTATCGTCACGTCAATTGTTACGGGAGTAACACTGTTACCACCCAAGGAGGCATGAATGCAGTGTGTGGGACCGCGGTTGTATGATCCCATGCAGGTGGGGGCTGTCAGTCTTGAGCTTATTATGCACCCGATACACTTGTTTATACGCCCGAACCACATCCGTAAGTCGCTCAAGGGGAGGCCTGGTTGTACAGTACGCCTCTCCTCAAGTTACCTATACTAGTAAATAAGCACTCAGTAGTGTTGTCTACCAGTAGCTACATGTGCATGGTGTTGTTAACCATAATTCGAATCTGTCAGAATTTAGTGGCGGCATGAAAGGATGACGTAGCTTACAGTATATGCATTTGATTGTCGTCATATTTGAACCAGAGGCCTAACGTTAAATGTACTTCGAAGTATATATTAGCGATCAAAAGGTATTAGACCGGGTGTGCCTCTGGGGTATGTAGACAACTTCCCAGGGGGATGCTAGGCTGTTGAATTATTATGGCGGGGGGTCTCTGGATGTTGAAAACAATGTACGCGTTGCACGTCGACAAGCATCCCGGATAGGCTCCGTATGACCAGTCGTAATGTCGTGAATGGTGGCTGTGGCCACTTCTTTTCATGCGGATTTCGCCACTATGTTCAAATATGCACTATCTTGCATATCTTGTCGTTGAGCCCACATTCTATCAACTTATATTCACACAACGCCACAATACACACACTTCAACACAAAGGAGTCGTGTGGTAGTCGTTGGAAGGAAGAATACCGCTGGTTCGGTGAAATATAAACGTGCAGTTTGTGGGGCCACAAAATTAAATGGAGGTGCTCGAAATAATTCGATGGTCTCGTGAAATATACTGCAGGCTGAGGGAAATCGCGAAAACCAGTTTCGCCTGGGCAAAACCCACGATACGTAACCGAATTCAATTCGACAGGCTGACTTTCAAACGATAATAGAATACTTTTGGCAGTTAACCCGCTCGGACATGTAAACAGACTTGTGGTCAATTTTGACTCTATTTGAACGTATATTCATTCAACAATCTAGGAGCGCAATTTCAACGTTGCGCTCTGTTATACAAGCCAAAGCGCTTTAAAATTCAAGGAGGTTTAGGTTGGGTATTTTTAGGTTAAAGATTGACGAAACCGACGAAACTTCACTGTTGTTCACCAGCGTGCAGAGCAATGGGTCGCGCGTTAGTTTGACCCATTGCAAACTCACACACTCTGTGTGTGTGCCGTGTCAAAGGTTCCGATACCTTAGTGGAGGTAATGAGTACTTTAGCGAATGGTAGTCAGTAGGCGTGTCATTCTGTTATATTTGCAACCTTGACGAAGGTCCCGTGGCCGAAAGACGAGAGTAGTGGGAGACAAAACAAAGATATATTTAGTTCATTGTTGAGCTATTCACTGGAGATGGAACGAGAACATTCCTCCGACGAGGAAACACCAACGAACGCCGAACAACGATCGCGGTCGCGTGACCGGATCGAGGAACCGCGAGGACGCGACGCTCGGTGCGCCCTTGAGAACCCGTTCAGATCTCCCCGACGACGACAGCCACCTGCTGTCGACGAGTGGCAACCGCCACGTGGTGGGTTTTACACCCCTACAACAAACCGAGGAACACCAGCTGTCACAGCGTTTGTCTCAGCTGCTGCTCCACCAACGACTGAAGCAGATGACGCTTCAGTGCCGTTGCTAGCCGATAACGACCCGTCGGACGTCCGTGACGATACCGACATGGGCAGCGATGGCAGTTACGGCCATACGGCGCCGCAAGTTTGGAACGCGCCAGCGCTCCCGCAGCTGCCGACATTTTCGGGCGCGACCAACGCCGAAAGACGCGCTTTCATGCGCGATTACCAGAAGTATCTGGGGCAGATCAACGCTCTGCAGTGCAATGGATCGCGTCTGTTCGCCATTCCCGTGAGTGCCTGCATGGACCCGTTCTCGAATCGCCGGATCGCGCTGAGCTACTTCAACCGCGACCACCATTACATCATGATCGATGAGTGGGTCGCGTGGTTCAAGTCAGCGTTTGAGGAAGACCCTCAAGACCTGGACGTTTTGAAGCAACGTCTGCTGCGAGCGATTCGCTTCGATACGAAGATCTTGGACGCGGAGTCCCGTGTCGGTCGTATGTTGGACGAGCTGATGCGCTCGTTGGAACAAGACCATCAGGAGTGGGTACTCCATGAAGAAGGCAAGATGGTCGTCGAAGGCATGACGAAATCGATCAAGCCGGAGTCGCTGAAGTCAGCGGTTCAAAAGCAGCTGCAGTTGCAGCGGAACAAGGCGTTAAAGAGCGACGTCTTTTGTTACGTCAACTGGCTGATAACATTTGCAGCTGGCCACCAGCTGTACGTGGGACTCGACGACGAGTCCAAACCTTCCCCGGGGTTTCGGGGTTTCGGGGTTTCGGGCTAAGACGTGACAGCGGCCGGGAAGATACCACCAAGAACAATGGAATAGTCGGGGGAAAGGCCGAAACGATCGTGCCCAAGAATGCCGAGCCCTCTGCCAGGAAAGGCTGCTTGATGTGCGGTGACATGAGTCACCGTGTGGCGCGGTGCCCGAAGACCGCGCTTGGCGAAGCCGAAACGTTGTTGGCAGCGCAAGTCAAGCTCTGGAAGGACGGCATCAAGGTGCTGGTCAACCAGCCGCAGCGCCAGAAGACAGAGAGCGGCGTACAGTTGTTGGAGAATGTCGTCCGCGTGGACGATGTGCTCTTGGACTCTGGTTCGGACGTGACCGTTGTCACGCGCGGCGTCATGGATGCGTTGGACGCAGCCAGTGTCAAAGTTGGGACCGTCTCCCACAGCGTGCCGCATTTGGCGTACCCGTATGGAAGTGACGCCAACACACACTTGATTGACTTGATGTTAGCACGACGTCGCAGAACCAAGAGTGAGATTCCGGCAGTTGGCTGGGACAGGTGTTCTGTTTTCTACGTCCTAGTACTACTAGTACTACTAATAGTAATACTATGCCTTTTCGTGTCGGTTCGCCAAGGGTCGGCACCCGGTGGCCTATTTTGAGGACCACCTGTGTCATAGCGGGACTTGAGTTAAGTCGCCCACCAGAACACACGTCCTCATGTGTCTCTCGCTGAATTGCGCTCAATGATGTCATACAGGCCAAGAGTAGGCGAGGGAACAATCGATGGTGTTTGTTTGGTGTGACGGGATTTACTTGTGCAGACTTGCTGAATCTTTACACTTGCAACTTCAGGCATCGCTAAAATCGAACGAAGTACAAGGTATGTAATCTACTCACATGTCGCACTTGCTATAATTTCCCATAAGTATTCCATTTTTTGGCAAAATGGGATAAGCCAAAAATGCCATTTTCAAAATTGAGGTAAATGGTCCATTTTGTACGATGGCATTTCGGACCTCTTCAACGAGTAAATCGCGCTTGGAATTATTGAATTTGAGTTAAAAAAAACTCTTCAAACAAGACATGTTTCAATTTTGATCAGATATGTCAGCTTTATTGAATTCGGCCCCAAAATGGCGTTTTGTGCCTGAATATTGTAATATTTCGGGTTACCAGACGGGTCCTAAAAAAACATACTCCAAGAACAAAAAGTACGTACATGAATTAAAATGCCGAAATTTATTTATCCATCTTGATTTCGAAGAGACGCTTTGAGTGGCAAGTCAAATCCTTTTAGATGTGACTTCCATTGAACACCAACGACGGAAAACCTGTGTTTAATCATGACGTTGGCGATTAATGTCAAATACAGTATTGTAATGAGAAGGGGTTTGTGGTAATTAAATTTGACTTTCAAAGTGCAATGTCGTCATTTCACTTTCGATGGCGAAGGAGCTGTTCACGTACAACAAAAAGCTGGAATGCGTCAATGCCCTCGTTGCGCATGTCAAGCTGGTGGATAATGAAATGTTGTCAAGGCCACAATGTGTGGCGTAAGTACCATCTACAAGTGGATTGCGGAGTGGAGGGCGATCGAGCAACACGTGAAACGCGGATTCGGGGACAAGGTTCGTGTTGTGGTGAAGAGTTATGCTGGGAAGCAGAAGTTGTCCGTGCGACTCCTTCGAGGTATACCCTATGCGCCCCATCGACGAGGTTCCTCGCGTCCTGGAGTAGCGTGCTGGAAGTTCATCCGGATCGGTATCGTTGAAAGGCTCGTGCACCAGTTCTCCATCGTACAGCATTTTCTATACAAGATCATTCAAGCTCAAGTCACGTTTGTTCGTCGTATGGTGCGTGTGCATGCCCTGTATGGACAAGATCAAGCTCCACAAAGCAAGTGCCAGCGACGCTAGCCCCCATCATCCCCAGAAACATTCCCCGCGCGAGGTGCCATCCTTTTCCCTTGAGTCCCCGACGCCCCAAGCCCCAGAAAAGCATTTTACTTCCTTAGCGGTTGAATTGCCGTCGATGCCGACCATGCCCCCATTAACATCATGGCTCGACGAGCGCAGCGACGACGAATGACGACTATCTCAGCAACATTGGCGATGATGCCACTGGTCTGCTCGACGCCCTACTACGATACTACGCCTACATCTCGGATGGTGAGGGCAGTGAGCCTGATGAAGCGTCCAAGGGTGCAGATTAAGCGGACCGCCTCAACATGTCGTGCATCAGTACTTCATCCACCGAACTTGATAACACCCCCGATGACCCGACGGTCACCATCAACAAGTCGTGTGTCAACGATGTCACACCTTTGGAGCAGCCCCTCAGCTTCAAATTCATTAACCCCAACGTCTACAAAGGTGACCTCCGAGTGACTCACTCCCATCGTAACCTTACCGAGCTCAAGCGCTGCCCTGTCAACGCCTAGTGTGAGTGCTGGCGAATGCACAACCGCTTCCGCGAGCCCATGTGTAACACCAACAATTGTATCAGTCAGAACACCCTGTTCTGTCATGAACATCATCACTGCCCTGAAGCCTCAGGTAGCAGTATTGGCTGCAGCTAGTAGGAGGTTTTTGTGCCTTTTAGAGGCTTTTCCTCAGATAGTAGATAGCCAGCCATATCCACGGTACATCATTAGGTTGCCGTGTCCTGATTGGCTAGCCATTAGCTAGTCCGTCTAGCCTTTCGAGCCAGTTGTTCTCACTGGTAGCTAAGCTAAATTACTTTCCGTTTCACCCGCAACCACCCAGTGTTCCCCCTGGCTTTTGCACCATCCCACTGGTTATGAGCTCCACCGCATCCTCTGCTGTGGCAACCCGCCCAACCCTCTCTGTCGTCCATCACCTGCGTGGACTCGACAACTTTGACGAGTGGCACTTTGAGTTGACCACGATCGTCCTCCAAGGAGAAGGCCTGACCACTCAGGCGACGCAATGCACTGGCGACGAAGCCAAGTGGTCCATCAAGGGCCTGACGCGTGCATTTCGCGTCCTCGATGGCGACACCAAGAAATTGCGTCGGCACATCGACGACGCAGTCCTTCGACCGTCATCTGAGCCACCACTCCCGCCACCAGTCCTTGATGACGTGGCGCCCAAGCTCATTGATCCCATCATGGAATACCTGGCCGAACATCGTTCAGCCAAGTTCCTCGAAGCTCGCGCGGCCAAAGCCGCGCTAGAGCACCTCCTGAAATCCGAACACGCGGATGTCAAACGAACCATCGCGTTGGTCTACGCGTCGCTGTCGGAGGCAGTGCGCCGCGACGCCGCGGCCGCAAACCTTGGTCAATACGCCCACTGCATCACGAGTGGCTCCGCGGCAAGTTCTGCAGCGAAGAGTAGAAGTTTGCGTACGCCGTGGACGTATATACCAAGTTCCACGGCTTCAAGTTCGAGCAATATTGCTCGCTTGACGGCAGCCTGGCCACTTTCGACAAGCTTTGAAAGGCCGTCGAAAAACGCGAGAGCACGACTCAAAGCGACAGACACCTCGCATCGGTGTTGTTGTCCGCGCTGCCTGATTGCATTGCCCACGATGTGCAAGTATGGCGCGGTGCTCGACTGAGCATCCCATACACCCAGCTGCGGGAACTTTTGCTGCAGCACTGGCACGAGTTGACCCAGAAATACCCTGATTTCTTGGGTCCCAAACCGACGGCTCATGCCGTTCCGGTTCATGGTTCGAGCCAAGCGCCCGAAACCACTCGATCG